TATAATCATTTTAATTTTATCATTGATACAATATCGTAGTTATTTTATTTTATTAAATGTTTCCATTTCACATTATGCAAGTTCAACTTATTGTTCTCCTGTACGTTTTTCTATTTCTAAATTTGTTTTACAATATGGTTAAAGTCAATGAGGTAAAGTGGAACCTTAAGGTAGTTACAATTAAAAATATACATTTTGGCTGTAATTATTAACGTATTTATTGCATCAAGGTTATGCCCTGTTCCCACACAAAAGAATACATTCACATTGTGAATTATTAAGCTAAAATCCAGTTTCGTTTTAATATAATATTTAAATGATTGCCAAAAAGACGGAATCTCTATACAATGGAAGAATAAACGTGAAATCGTTTGAACTTCTTTCTTACAAACGGAGAGTTAGCCATGCTATGCCGTTATAAACTACGTACGATTGTCACACTTTAAAAGAAGGTGTACCTTTTGTGACAAATGATAGTTATTTAAATAGGTTATGGTTAACTGAGTTTATAAGCTTGATTAATAAATGTAGGTAACAAACTAATAAGCCCAAGTAAACAGATAAAGGCCTGTTTATACTTCAACGATAACGATAAAAAAGCTAGAAAGCAATTGTTCATATAGAAAATACAAGAAATAAGAGAAGTTTTTATACTAGAACGATTCAATAACGATGTATTAGTTATGCGATAACAACATATTTTTGACAAATCAAATCAGATGGCGTCATAACCATGGAAAAACATTAAAATTGTAGTATTAGCAACGATTTTATCGTTTTTCCATGATTATGACGTCATCTGATTTGATTTGTTGAAATATTCTGTTATCGTATACACGATAAATCGTTATCGAATCGTCCTAGTGTAAAAAAAAACCCTCTCTTATTTCTTTCTATTTGTATAATAACAATCGCTTTTTTAGCTTTTTCATCGTTATCGTTATCGTTGAAGTATAAACAGGCACTTTTCAACTAGGCCTAAAAACTCACAAAAATGCTTGTAACACGTAACGTACGCTTAATTGTTTATGTGACTTGGCAAATCAGCAGCTCTTATAAGTGAACAACGGGGCGTAGTATCTTGAATCACATCGTATCAAACCCAAAGTGACGTCATAACAAATTTTATAATTTTTTATTTTAGCCTGATACTAATAACGATGTTTGGCTGCGTAAATTTAATACGAAAGCTTCAGTAATATACAATTTCCCACACTGCGATGTGCAGGTCTGAGTCGCGTATAAAACGGAGAGATAGGGGCCTATTAGGTCGGGTTTCTTTTACTCGACTCGAGTTCGGAACGATACCAAGTTAAAATTATTCACAAGAAGAGCAGACACTTCGCAATGTCGTGACGCTGTTCTTTTTAAAGGGGGGGGGGGGTGTTTTGGGGGGGGGGTGCGGGGATGAGACAAGTGGTCATATATTGCTTATTTAACCTTTCCTGAGTTCGGGAAAAATACTTAAAAAATTCAAAATGTTGAGATGTAAGGATAATTACAGAAACAAAACATGATATGATGAGACAGGAAAATCAGGCGAAAACGAGGCTTTTTTCAGTAGCTTGGTAGCATTTTCTAACCAACTCATTAATATTCAAGACAAGTCTGTCAATTAATTTTTGGCGAGCAGCTGATCGAAAAATCGTCCCGACGATCGAGCGACTGCCTAGATACAGTACACTATAGTGTGAAGTCGTGAGTTTTTGTGATCGTTTACGTACGCAGTTACAGAGAGACGGTTTAGTCAATTCAATATGGAGGAATAATTCAATTGAATTAATAAACGTATATCAGTCCGATGACTTGACTTGTTTGTTTATAAGTCCTACACCTATGCCTAGGATTAGCACAGTCAGTGTCTACCCAGCAGCAATAGTGCACTCCTGTCCAGGACACTGCTCCAGTCCCGCAGCACGTGAGTTCGCACGCAGCCTTATCCAGGTAACGGTAAAGATAATAGGTTTCTACTACTAGCCTAGACTTGTCATGCCATACCATCTTTGTCACATTAATTGTGCTAGTGCATTTTTTTCCATAATAATAGACCTAGGCCCCTAGGCCTACTAATAATAGTATACTATAGGCCTGGTCCTATGAAAAACTGTCTAGGCCTAGGCCTAAATATCTAAAAAATGCACTGTCTAAATACAGGTGATGTGCTATAACACTACAGAACAGTATATCATTAGAACCAATACCAATTCCTGTAACAATAAGATTATTATTGATATACACGTAGGCCTAGAAGCTAGGCTATCAACAATAACGCCCCATTAAATAATAACATGATGCATATGTTACTCCAAACCTAACTTTCAGCTGTTGTTGAAATGTGGAATTCAAATAAAATATTATACATATATATTTTTGTAGGACAAGATATGTGATAGGCCGAAACATGACACTCTCCTCGCACAGGTATTTGCCAGTCGCCATGATGAGACAAACATACCACAACATTTGCCATGAGTACAACCACCCAACATTGGTATCTACGAAAGAAGGTGGTACAAAGCATACAAGCACCCAGCAAGACGTTAGCAGAAACACTC